CACCAACATTTCCTATTTCATAGCAACGAGAGTCAGTTAATGATTCACCAATTGAATTCCTTCGACACGACCGGTATAAGCCCATTACCAATGGTTCGATCGGGACGAATGGTAAGACTCTTGAGGCCTCATAGAGATGAATGCACAGCTGCACAGGGATACCGTTTGTCACAGTAACATGCATTGCTTCATAACAATATACCCCACAAGTACAAGATCAGAAACATTTTCTATGTCATAGCAACGAGAGACCATTAATCATTCACCAATTGAATTCCTTCCAGACGACCGGTGATAGGGAATTACCAATGGTTCGATCGGGACGAATGGGAACACATTTGAGCCCTAATGAGATGATGGCACAAATACACAGGAATACCACATCCAACCGAATCCGATATCACTTCTCCCCATCATCTACACAAAACCATTTCCTTTCAGGTTGAACGAGAGAATTAGGCCTTCAATCCATGACGAATGGTCACGATGGAACGATTGGTGAATTTGTTCCCACATTTCTTTGCTGTTTCAATGCTATGGCGATTAAAAGTTGAATCTGAAAGTAGCACGTGTGACTGCCTTATATCTTTCTAATAATAATCACTTTGACATCTCAAGAGCAACCGATATAACATCTTTCCACCCTCTACAAGTCAGAGAAGATAAACGCATATCTTATTTCTCTACTTCAAATCAGCAGTTCCGAAATACCTCAGTCAACTAAAGTCAAATCTACTCACAAAGTCACCATGAAAATGACTTCACGAATAGATACCATTGGTAAAATACAAATTATGAATCGTAACAAGTCGTCTATATTGGACAAATCTCCACCAATGTATGTGAGGGGTCTTGAATTAATTGTGGCTTCAAAACTTGTAAGCACTGTGTACATCTCTGTATAATTTAAAAGTGACTTGCCTAATACTCGTCTCAGCGGTTCTTTAATTTGACGACATACTCGTTCCCAGTGTCCTCCACGGTGACTTGCTCTTTCCGTGATGAACTTCCACTTGACTTTGTCGTTAGCTAGCTTGTTTTCAACTTCTCTTGGATCAATATTTGCTTGCTTTGCTTTCTGCTTTGAGACTTTAAACACCTTGTTTGCTTTGTGAAATGTGGTTTGGTTATCAGAACGTATAATCCTTGGTACTCCGCATCGACTAACCATGCGGCGATAAGCTTGTAAAAACTCTTCTGTCGTTCGTTCCTCACTCCCAGAAAAAATACCCCTGGGCACGAAGTCTGTTAGACCTTGTTCTCGATTCGAAATTCAAAATGGCGGCCAGTAAGTTAATCAACCAATCAGAATGTTCGAGTGAATCACTCGACCAATCAGAGATTTACCGGCCGCCATTTTGAATATCGAATCGAGAAGGTCTAACAGACTTCGTGCCCAGGGGTATTTTTTCTGGGAGTGAGGAACAAACGACAGAAGATTACCCCTGGGTTCCCGAGGATGGCACACGATTGGCCACGAACACTTTCCACTTTTGGCTAGACTGTCTTATCCATGCAAGAACGACTTGAGAATCTGTCCAGCACTTGACTTGTGTTATGGTTGTAGTTAGAGACTTCAGTATTAACTTCATTATTCTTGATAGAATTAAAGCACCAAGCAATTCTAATCTGGGAAGGGTTACTCGCTTTGCTCTTTGATAGCATGAGGTGCGTTTGGATCTTTCCACCACCATCTTTGCATCTTAGTTACATAGCTGCACCGTAGGCTTTCAGACTGGCATCACAGAAACCGTGTAGTTCTAACTTAGTCACGCGATCACACTCAGCAAACGGACATCGAGGTACTTGCAGCGCTTGTAGATACTTCAGCTCTTCTTTCCAACTCTTCCATTCAGCTTTGGTTCCTTCATCCAGTGGCTCATCCCATTGAATACCTTTTGACTAGAGATCTTGAAACATCATTTTTGTTCTTACTGTAAAGGGTCCAATTAAGCCAAGTTGGTCGAACAACCTCGATGCGGTACTAATAAGGCTTCTCTTCGTGTCATCATCTTGGGCTTTTAACAATGATTCGCCTTGGTGGTATCTGAATGTATCTTCTGTGGTATTCCATGCAATACCAATTACTTTCAGTGGCTCTTCTTTGGTCTTTACTTGAACTAACGGGGCTGTTCCTCTTAAATCAGGATCAATGAGATCGCATAGTTGCTTTGAGTTGGTATACCATTTAACTAGTTCGAATCCACCATTCTTCATTAAAGAACATAGCTCTTTGTGCAGTGTATAGGCTTTGTCGACGTCGTCTGCGCCAGTTAAGAGGTCATCTACGTACATGTTTTCTTGTACTTCCTTGGATGCATCTGGGTACTTATCTGCGTTGATTGAACAGTGATGATGAACTGTTGCAATGTCTTGGAATGGACTGCTTACTATGCCAAATGTGACTCTTGTCATGCAGTAGACCTTCGGACTTTCGGTAGGACTCTTTCTCCATATGAAACGATGACAGTTTTGGTCCTTAATTTGCAGAAACATCTTCTTGATATCTGACATCATTGCAATCCTGGTCAGTCGGAAACGAAGTAGAATGGACAATAAATTCGGTTGAAGTCTCTGAACCAATTCTCGCTTAGTTCCAGAAGTGGAAAGGCCATTCACTTCCAATTCATTCTGCAAATCTTCTATAGTCATCAAGGAAATACCTTCTTTGGTCGCCATGCTCTTCTCTTGAATATTCTTCGATTTAACAACTTTACTTTATTCTTTGACTTGTAAATAAACAAACTTGACTTTCATGGTTGACTTGAAATAAACTTGAATCCTTAACTTTAAACGTAGACTTTGACTTGAACACTTGAATCTTGATTTAATTACTTAACTTGTTGAAACTTGGACTTCTTGAATAAACTTAACTAGGGTTGACCTTGGAATTTGAACTTCGGTATAGTTCGGAATTTTACTCGAAGTCATAACCTTGCTCTGCTACCAAATGTACGGTTCGGTCCAAGGAGTTAGCACTCATAGCAGGTTGATCTTTTCATGGCTAACTGATTTTTATTTCAAAATTACTCCTTAAATACAGAAAATTGCCCTCAAGGGTCTACACTAATTTTACACTCCTGCTAGTTCAGTCCGGTATTTTCGAGGTGTTTTAATTAACATCCCCTTTTTGCTCCTACGCTGATCCGTACATTCTTGACAATTTGTTTTTTTTTTTGCTTTCAACCTTTCTTTATTTCAAAACTGTGTGAACTGTTTTTTTTTTAACTATTTTTTAACAATTTCTTATTTATTTTCACATCATTTCGCTTGTGAGAAATCGAAGGATATCTTATACACGAATGATAAAGAAATAAAAATGTCATGTTTCATCTTTTCATGTATTTTCTCTTTTTTCTAAGGTCTTCATTGCTTTTTGGATTGTGGTAAGTAGTATCATGTTTATACTATTGTATCTCGCTCAATATCTATATATATATATTTATTATATATTTACAGCCTTTTGCAAAAATTATGAGAATTGTCTAAATATCTAAATATCATAATATCCATATCCATATATTGTCTGGAACACGAGGGTTTGCTAGAATAATTCATTGTTGACATCGAGAAAATGTTCAGAACTATGGATAAGTCTGTCGCCAAAAAAAAAACTAAACTACAAAGACAAGGGACTAAGGGCATCGCGCGGGATTACCCATCATGCACTCGATATTATGATATTTAGATATTTCAACAATTCTCATAATTTTTGCAAAAGGCTGTATTGGTTGCTAAGATATTGGTGATCAAATATGGTCATATTTTACCCTCTTGGGTTAGGGTTAACATTATTTCGCTGATGAAAAATTGAAATATATCCAGTACACGAATGATATAGAAATGAAAATGACATTTATTTCATCTTTTCATGTATCATCTTTTTTTTAGATTTTTTAATTGACTTCTTGCTTCATTGTGGTAAGTAACGCCATCTTTACTCTAGTTTTAATTCATTGTATCTCGTTGGATATTTATTCCTCAATGTTCAAACTTGTTCAAATGTGTAGCACGTATGTTAGACTATTCGTCGTCTACGTTTAGTGCGTTAACAAGGCTTGGTTACATAGTTATTGGTGCGCAAACTCAGTAGAAATACCCTTTTTATATCTTCAGTTATCATATCTCTGGACCAATTTCACGTTGTGCCGCATAAGATCATGCACCTATGCATGATGGAGACCCACTTGAGGTGCCTCATCACTTCGAGTGATGACTCCCCTAGCCAAACTGGTGAGCTATACGTATGTTAGATTGTACAACGAAATTGTGCTAAGTTTTTGTTTGAGTTCTTTTCCATGATTTTGGATATCTTATTCCTCCCTCTCTTCAGACGGAGGATCAATTCACCATAAACAGGGATCTGCCTAAATCCCTGGGTGTGGATGTCAAGCCGATATCCACCCCCCTTGAGATTCCTCTCATAGAAGGAAGGGGTAAGTGTCTTGAATGAACATCGAAGTCAGTCAATTTCTTACGATGATTAAGTGTCCTTTTTTATTTTAGCTGCGGCGGACATGTCATCCAACATGTCTGAGGATGGGGTTGTGGAGTACCTGCCTCCTCATCAAGTGCAGGCCCAAAGCACACACACCGAAGAAGAACTGGACAGGACAGTGGCAGCGGTCCTAGACATGCCTGCGATCCGGCTGCCTCCATCCGAGGTCGAGGTTAGGACCGCAGAGTGCCAGACAGACGAACAGACGAACGAATATTCGATCTGTTATGCTCCACTGCCCTACTTGTCCTACTGTGACAAGTGTGTAAAGGGCCTGTCTGAAGACGACCTTGAGGTGGGTATCTTCACAACCCCCGCATCTCCTAACGAGGTTGAGGTAAGGACGTCGATTGTCGTGCCTATAATTCACATGTTCTAACAGCTGTTTGAATTTGTATGTAGACCTTTGTTAAGAAGCCATCACTAGTACCAGGGGTCACTGCGACCCCTGATGACCCCGCATCTCCCGACGAGGTTGAGGTAAGGACGTCGATTGTCGTGCCTATAATTCACATGTTCTAACAGCTGTTTGNACTATCTGCACTCGGTCTGCAGGCAAGGGAGCCATCTTCTGTTCAACTGGTTTTGTTTTCCAATGCTGGCAAATCAGACACWTGTGTAGAACTCGTTTCACCYCTCTTCTWCCTTGTGTTATCCAAAATCTTTGGCRAACAATGCTTAGCGTGGTTTCAGRCCCARCGTGGTTGGCTTTATAATGGACATCTAATATCACCTTCTCTGTAATATTGCACTTGTGAGGCAGTATCACCTGGTGTTTGGCTTCTTCTGAGATAGACGCAAATTCCAATCTTCCTCCAACAACCAAAAGACCATTGYCATCACTCAACTGTGGGTCCAGCTTAACGATACTGCTTGACTTACKTASTTGACTTCCTTGCTGAAGTTCCCTTATTTCATCTTGAAAGGCATTTTGTTGTACGTTCTTTAGTAAGGTGTGTTTTGCATCCTTGACTTCTTCTGCGATGAGATATCCAAGTTTAGGTTTCTTGTGCAGTCTCTTCCACTTCAACAACCATGCAGTGACACGAACTAACTTTTGCCAGCTATCGTAGCGCTCTTCTAAGGCAGACACTTCAGTACCTGTCAAAGTAATTGCTGTTTTCTTGGCTTCAGAAAGTAGCTCTGTTATTTCTGTTTTCTTCAAATCTTCATACATTGGAACTGTAAGTACTTTACTTGGGCATTCACTAACATCACGCGATAGCCAATCTGGACCGTTCCACCAATTTTTGCCCTCAATCAGTCGTGGTAATTGTTCACCACGTGTCAATAAGTCTGCTGGGTTTTGCGGTCAGGGACAAAACTGCCATTGCGATGGAGAAGTGTTTTCTTTAATCTCTTGCACACGATCATCCTCGGGAACCCAGGGGTAATCTTCTGTCGTTTGTTCCTCACTCCCAGAAAAAAATACCCCTGGGCACGAAGTCTGTTAGACCTTGTTCTCGATTCGAAATTCAAAATGGCGGCCAGTAAGTTAATCAGCCAATCAGAATGAATCACTCGACCAATCAGAGATTTACCGGCCGCCATTTTGAATATCGAATCAAGAACAAGGTCTAACAGACTTCCCTAGCCAAACTGGTGAGCTATACGTATGTTAGATTGTACAATGAAATTGTGCTAAGTTTTTGTTTGAATTCTTTTCCATGGTTTCTCCACAAGACGTTAAAGAGAGATGTTACTAACCCATCACTGCTGGATAACATCTCGGTCGAAGACCCGATCAGCATCAAGAACAAGGATATGAGAAACTTCAATATCCTACGTTGCACTATACCCGTGCACCTTATAGATGACGGTGTAAGGCTTTTGTCTTTTAATTCGTTTTCTTTATTTTGACATGCTGAAAAAGATGTCATATTTTTTGATAGGAGATTGATGAGTTGGTGGAGCATGTCCCTCCTCGGAACGTCACCCCTGCGTCCGGGTACGGTAAAGACGATATTCCAGGGCGGTATTCCAAAGGCGCCCAGGAAGGTAGGAATATCCCTTGCTTTTTTGTATACCACCTGTCAATACACTGATCATTGTTGTACACAACTGCAGGTTGATGATGACTCCAGTGAGGACGACATTCCCCTCTCGTCTCTGGCCCAAAAGAAGGCCAGGAAGGTAGGAATATCCCTTGCTTTTCTTGTATACCACCTATCAATACATTGATCATTGTTGTACACAACTGCAGGTTATCGACGAGTCCGACTCGGACGACTCGGAGTCACTGTGCAGCCACGTCTCCAACAGTGGAGACGAAGATAACGATGAGGTGCCACTGTCAGAACTAATGGGTGTTAAGACCAGAAAGAGGGTGCTGTTGCTAGCCCCCACATTCAGAAGTGCCTCCAAACCGATGTCACCGAACCTAAAGGTGTACGGGCCAAGACCATCCTATGGCCCTTGGAGGCAAGAATGTGGGGTGCAGGCAACTGCACCCACTGCCTCGGTGTCCACGCAGATCTTCCAGGCCAACCCATTGCTCGTGACTCGGGTTGAACCGCCTGTTCAACCACCTCTTGGACCAACGTCTGGACCAGCACCACAATCTAACCCTTCGCCACCACCACCACGACACGGAGTCTGTGAGTTCTTCACTTCAAACAACGGAACCGCCATGCCGTCGTCCAACATCAGTGATTCCTTGAAGTTGTTTGTGAAGAGGTGTGGTGTACACATAGATAAGGTCATCAACGCCACCCAGATTCGAAAGATGTGGGTCAGCCACTTCGAGATGGTCGGAAAGGGTGAGGTCGATATGAACAACATGCCCATCCTCATGAAACAGACGGCCAAGAGCTGGTACGACATGACCAGGAAAGTAGGGCAGGCAGAGAGGGCGCACAGCATGATCCGAGATGAAATCTCGTTGCTCGTTGCTATTCCTCCAACTGCTCCTCCTGCGCTTGCTTTTCCTCGGTCGAGTACCAGTGTTCAGCCTGAAACCTCGGGTGTGGATATGAAGGAAAGTCGAGTACACCCTTACAACTMTTCCAGCGTCCGATACGAATGGACCACCGACCAGATCAAGGTGCTGAGGAAGTCCTTCAGGAAGATCATCGCGTTGCTGATGTCAGACACGTGTTCCAGAACAACGCCGAGGCCAACGCCATCTGGACCTTGGGTAGAACGGATGTGTGGAGGGACCATTGTTTGGAAAAGATCAGGAACATTAGGTAGGCTGACAAGGCGTCCAAATTAACCAAGTCCACTTGTTTCTAAGTGGCACTCACGTTTGTTTGTTTTGTGTGATGAGGATTGTGGCAGGCCTCACCCGTCGTCTTGCCATTGTCTGTTCGTAAAACGTATTGTGTTCTTACAACAGGTGCTACATACACGATGAGAGGCGCTCTGCGTTTGTGGGCAACCGAGGCACCCGGCTTTAAGCATACAAGTCAATGCACACACCACATGTTTCAGTAGTGTCTTACAACAGGTGCTACATACACGATGAGTGGCGCTCTGTGTTAGTGGGCAACCGAGGCACCCGGCTTTAAGCAATGCACCCACCACATGTTTCAACCACATGTTTCAGTAGTGTAGTTTCAGTAATGTCTTACAACAGGTGCTACATAC